CCACCCTATCCTCTGATTAAGTGTTCATCACCGTGAACGATATCTATGACTGAGCATTGAATAAATGACTAACGTGTGAAGTCCTTTTGTTGACGAGAGCACACAGTTGTGTGATACCGTGATATCGATAATTGAATGATATCGTGATGATACTTGTGAAGTTTCATTTAACTATACCCAGTCCTTGAGTTGGCCGAGTGGATCGCTTAGCACTGCCTCAGTTGGCACTGCCCGAAGGGTGAGCGAGGAATCCAATGCACCAGTTTCCACTGTCCGGATTGATACGGCTTCGTCGCCGGTTTCTGCCCCAGTTTCAACTGTCCGGAATTGAACTGCCCGAAAATCGTGAAATGCATTCACCGATTGCCCGAGTTGAAAAGTGCCGAATTTGAACTGTATTGAGAGCTTAGCGGAGCGTTGCGGCAGTGAAATCACCTCAGTAACGAGAGACTATGCAAACGATCCAGCCACTTTTGTACCAATCCATTTTTGAACCAATCCAAGTAGCGCCCGCCCCCCTTTAAAAAGCTTCCCTTCGGGAAGCGCTTCGCTCCGCGAACCACTTTCGTACCATAATCGTCCCTATTTCGGAGATTTTCTCGCAAATGTCGGGAAAAGTGGGTTAAGTACCACTCCTTCGGGAATCGACCGAACTTAGGACTGTCGCACGCTGATGTGGCGTATGTAGAGTATACATCGCGTCACGCGATGTATACTAAGCACCACGCGATTCGCGTGGTGCTTGGACATCTGACGGGGCCCGACTATTCTTTTTATGCCATTCGAGATTCATGACACTTGCTATTTCACTTGCCATAAATTGCCCAAAAGCGATTTTTTCATACTCTGTTGCAAGTTGTCTCATTTGATGATCGAGCGGGTCGACTCTTTTGGGCAGGGGACTTGGGGAATGCAAGAGATGACAAGGTAATTACTGCTGCTGGGACCGCGAAGGCATCAGTAGCTTTACTAGAGGCTTGAACGAATGAGGAAAATGGTACTATTCTGGGTTGATGGTGGAACTCCCTTCCTCGAGGTCCCTGGCGCCCATAAAGTCTAAATAGTGTCGTCCCTTGGTCAACCGTCATTGTACACTATCTCTTCCTCGTGCTGGTGGACCCCAGATTGTTGTGTCCTTCCCGTCAATAGTCGGTCGGTGTGCGCTGCAGTCGCGTCCTTGAATGGGTTTCCGTCACGTTTCAGCCAGCACGGAAATTCCGTGCTGGCTACCGAGCCTTCACGGCATGCTTGAGAGGGCAGTCTCACGACCGACTCCACGCCTGCTCGTACTACGAGCCTCGTAGTGCTGTCACTGTGGTCGGATACATGTCGATGGGATACTGGACTTGGATATGCTGGACATGGACTACGGTAATGAGGGGAGATACCCGATAGGAAGGGAGCTTTTCATCGACAATTTTCGGATGCTTCCGAATGTGAAGGTGTGAGAACTCTCTAGTAGAGTGCTCGGTCAAAGAAACTGCTCAGCGCGATTTGCGTGGGTGGGCAAGAATTTTGCTGACATAAAGGACCTGTTTTTAAATATATAAATAGTGGGGTTGAGTTGAGCCGAAGTGCTTTAAGGGGATGAGTATTAAATGTAAGATACAAAACGCGATACG